AATGGACTTGTGCTTTATATCAAACGCAACTTGAACTAATTTTTGTTTTTGTACGCAAAAATTGGAAGCATGCAGTGCATCGAGAAGTGCAACTCGGTTCAATCGGTGATGATCGGTTATCTCTACTTTAAATAAATAGGGTGTGTCGTGCGATTAATCTCCATATCAAACATATTCTGCCTTTTAATAGGTGCATACCCGCGTGATAGTCAAGGACAACGTCAAAGTCCGAGGAATGGTCGAGTTCAGAAGTCCTTCCGATTAGAATACATAAACCAATCTGTTTAATCTCTTCGGTACGGGCGCGCGTGCGCCGCACGTAGGGCGTCATTTGACGGCCTAAAGCCGCGTTACAGTTAAATTCGGCGTCGATAGTACCGAAGAGGTTGAAACCAGAAACGAAATCTTCTCGTTGAATTACTTGTAACTTATACACATGTATTTGTACAACTCGTTCCCGCGTAAAAAAAAGGATCGTCGATCCGAAGACACAAATGACTCGTTTCGTGCCATTTCATTTCGCGCTTACTTGTGCCTGTGGCGATCGCATACTTTCCTCCGAAGGGCTGTATTCGGGACCATTCCTGGGACCCCATTATCGTGCCAATGCAAAAAACAAACTTGCCATTTAACAGATGTGCCAATTAATCGATATCGAGCTATTAACGTAAGCAAACGCAACTTAAGCAGAGCAAGCAGGTAAAAAAAAAAAACGAAAGAGTTAAAAGCGTGGAGAGGGTATAAAAGCGGTGCAACGAAAGCGAAGTATTTTTCGTTGGACACTCGACACACACACATACACACACTCACACTTACACACATATACACGCGCGACGAAAACGAAAGTTTTCGCGCGCGCCAATGAAACGGCTCGTCAAGCCGCATCTCTCGAGAGCTCGCCGGTCGCGAGAAAATTGTATGAAGTACAATACCACAGGTGAACCTGAGACATATCTAACTTTGTAATTAAATCTTAGGCGTATATAAATGTAAGATTTAAAAAAAGACAACCGAAGGAAAGAGAGGAGGAGGAAGAGGAAGAAGAAGTAAATAAAAAGAAAAGGGGAACGAGGGCGGATTGCGACCTCGCGTCGTCGCGGGACATGTACAGAACACACATTTGAATCTTTCTCTTGTGATATAATCGTACATTATTAAGGTGTAAACCGATAACAAATATACTATTCCATGTTTTTTCATAGAGGTGAAGTATTAGGTGATTGTGAGAGAGAGAGAGAGAGAGAGAAAAAGAGAGGAAGAGACCGGCTCGTTATACCATAGAATCGAACGTGGGCAGTTTACACGAAGTCTCATGGCGTTTAGAGGCGACTCTGGAAGTAAAGCTTCAGCTCAGAGAGAGATAGAGAGAGAGAGAGAGAGCGAACGGCTATTATGCGCTGAAATCTGGTGTAACACACTCTCTTCTTCACAAACGTGAAAGCTCTTTATACCGAAGGGCTTTGTATCGTCCCTCGTGCGCGCGCGCGCATCGTCTCACATTCTTTCATTATTATATTTACACAAGCTCTCGAGTACACATGAGGGCTTCTTCCTCATTTTCTCGCACCGGACACGAGAGAAGTACGTACGTAGGAAGTTTCACAAGTGTATTGTAACACGTCGGACTCTCTGTTACCGCAGAGCTCGGCCTTACAGCAGAGTCGCCTCCGCTCTCTACAAGCGCAAAAGTTTTGTAATTGTTAAAACGCATTTTACTTGAAATCCTCGATCGCAATAATTGATGTTTACATTTCGTCAAGTTCAAACTTAACACGTCACATCGATAATGACGCGCGTGTGTGTATGTAAATTGAAGAGAAAATTCACAAAATGTCGCAATGAGATCTTTCCAATTTGATGATAAATTGTGATATTAATAAAATGGCGCGTAAAGTAATTAACGTGAACAACATATCCGGTCATTATTGTCATCCGAAAAAAATGCAGTTGTGCAAACAATAACATGCGTTTCAACAGATGCAAGATGCAAACGCTCTCCGAAGCGCGACGGTAAACTCGACTTGTATCATAAGCGAACGAGATATAGCGAACGAACGCACTTTTTTTTTTTTTTTTTTTTTTTTTCAGGCTCCCAGAGGTGTCTCATAGAGGGATTATAGTTAGGGAAAAGAAATTAGAGAGAGAAGAGAAAAAAAACTCGGCATCTTATTTTCACTCATGACTACTTAGATGCGACTTGTTAGAAGCTAAGAAGAAAAAAAACTCGCGTAAATTAAAAACAAAAAATATACTTATTTATAACCTTTAGAAACGAAACCGCGCGCGGCCGTAGAAATGTTTTTCTACCAGAATTTCTGTGCCAACTGCAAAGAATGTTGTAGATGATTTTTTTGTTTCAAGTTGAAGCATTATTCTCTAATCTTGTAAGATACTCAGATATATCTTTATTAAATATATTTGAATTTTCGTAGTATATTATATTCTGATATTGATTATACAGTTCATTTTTGTATATTGGTGTGTGATAAATAAATAAGAATATTGTTTCTAAGCAAACCGCCAACGTGATGAAATAAATTTGAAATCACCTGTCATACAATCTTTCACGTGTGTTGTGCGTATGTTGTGTGCGTGTTAAAGTACGACACATAAAAATCGATGTCAGCTTTTACAATTCAACTTTTATATTAAATCACCGTGTTTTTTTTGACAAATTAAAACATGATATGGTGCACATATATATATGTATATGTGAGAGGAGAGGAGGTAATTGTGTAATTTTAAAAGGAAACAGGAATTTTCTTTCTGATTTCATTTATTTCTCACTTTGTAATATAATATCGAGTATATATATATATATATTATATAATGCACTATATGTATACAAAAAAAAAAAAAAAAAAAAAACTATTTGCACAGTTCACAATTTCTTTCTCTCGAAACAAAGATATTATCGCAAAGTTTTTATCGAAAGATACATTGGTGTACAGTACTTTCTTTCCTCTTCCATTTGAAAACTATGAAGTGTGCAAATATCTTTTTTAAACGCACTGTAAATTAGTAACATTATTTTTGCAAACGTAAAAAATAAATTAGAAGAGGTCGTTAAATAAATCGGTGTAGTTTTGCACTTGTTTCTAAATACTTACTTAGCAAATAAATGTACATACGTATCTAAATTACGAAAAGTGTACAAAAAAATTAAGAATACTCACGTCATTTCTAAGCATTCGTTGCACTTCAAACAGTCCGCCGTGATTAAAAAGACTTAACAATATTTCAATCCGCAAACAACGTGATTTTCCCGTGCGATCTTCGCAATCTTTTATCCACCTATGTGAAATATATAAACATCACCATTAAAATAAAATTATACAGTATACCACATGTGCTTCTAAAAAATTCTTTCAATAAATTTTTAAGTAATCGTAAACAATTTTATTTTCGCCGTGTGATTTTAGTTTTTTTTTTTTTTATTTCGTTTATGTTTGCAAAATCTTTCCTAAGTTAACGCACGCACTTTGAATAAAAAACATCCATTATATTTCTGTACGTATTAATATTCTATTTGTAATTTAAATCCTGTTTTCTTTTTCATATTTTACCCGAACAATGACGTTTAAAACGGAAAAAAGCTATTCTAAAGATATTTAATAATATCGATGTATATTAGATTTATCTCTGCTAATTATGTAAATTTTACGCAATACATTTAGTACAATTTTTACATTGTAATTTTATTTGTTTATACAACTATATTCACGCTACACGCGATAAAATTGTTTATTTTATGAGAATACGAGACTTATATACATGTATATAAGAATTTGTTTCTTGTAGAATTGCTATAGAATCTTAATGATAATCGATTATGGGAGTTTATTCTGGTATTCTTCAAACAAAATGTTTCATGAGTTATGTCGTATTTATTTCACACACAATTTATGAGAAATTACATTGTGTTATAGAATAAGAACATATCATTTAAGGACAATATGTTCAAAGAGAAAAAATTATTACATATTTAACGTAGTTTTGGATATTTATACAATCAGATTACACTGCTAGAGTTATACCGATTCTATCAGTAAAGTGTATACATTCATACAAATCAACGGATTTATTATTTCTAATTCTTTTGTTTTCTACACAAAAAAATACGAATCGTTACTTAATATCTTTTTGTTTTTTGTTTTAATATATGCAAATCTTAATCTTAAATATTATGTAGTTTTTAGCCTTGACAATGTGTAACTTATATTATGTCAGTAATACAAGCTTATGTATATATATTTTTGTCAATTTATAATATAACTTTTAGAGTTTGCATTTCATTGAAATGTTTTAAGTTTGTTTTGCTCGCAACAACGAGAAATGTGACATTTTATGTTGTTACCGTTTTTTTTATATTTCAATATAAATTTTTCTCAACGATTTTTAATTTTAAGTATTTATAATAAGTACTTTTTATTTTTTAAAAAGTATTTATTATAAATTAAATTAATAAAAGTATTTATAGATAAAAGTACTTATTATTTTATAATAAGTACTTTTTTAATATTCAATATAATTCAATACTTTATCAAAATATAAAAAAATACAAACTTATATTGAAACGACTGAAACTAATATCACTATTCGATGCGTCACTCAAAACTTAAAAAAAAAATTAATTAGATTAGAATTTTTTTTAGTTTTAATGCGTTATTTATAATTCAATTTCAGACATTTGAAGACATTAAGTACGTTTCGAAGAAAAACTATTAAGGCAATATGCATTTTTATATATTTAAACATGTAATATTGTGTATATATAATTACGTAGGCGTAATAATTGATGTTTTTATGTTTTGACACTTGTTTAAACCGTTTTACTTCATTTATAATCCACTGATCCTCTTGGTCCTTTAATCTTCGTCAATAGTTAAATTCTTCTCTCTCTCGGATTCGAAAATTTTAGGAAAAGGACTTTATAGGAACGGAGTTAGTTTGTTCGAAAAATTAATTGTGTGGAAATCAAGGTGTAAAAAAAAATCAATTAGAAGAGTAGCAGTGGAAGAAATCTCTATATGCATGAATGTGTTAATAGTGATGTAAAAACTTGTATGAAGCAAATTGACGACGTGCATCAAGTATATACAGTTACTTCAGAAGGATAGTCGATTAATAAAAAAAAATATATATATATATATTTGTATTATTCTAATTAATAGATATTTCTCGGTATACTGTTATGACAAACTTGACGAGTGTCTGATTAAGACATTCGCTATTAAGACTACATCTTTTAAAAGAACACGGTTTTTTGTTCGGAAAATTATTCTGAGGAAAAGGTTACTTATAGTCTCGAGTGGAACCATTTTCTTTATATTTGTACGGGTTAGAGATACACGTTCTTCTTTATCCAGCAGTAGAGTTAATTGATCTGAAAATTATCATTATCGAATAGAGCATTCGTATCTGACTGAGTGCGATTGGAGTGTAGAAAACGTAGTAGTGTGTAAGAAAAAAATGAAATTAAAAAATTCCAATTTCTTGATTAATCGTCGAAATATAAAATTTCGTCTTGTTAATTTAGTTGATTCTTCTGAATATCAAAATAAAGTTACATATTTTGGCATACCGTGTTAACCCCTGTTTCTTCTGATTTATTAAGGACGAGGATTTCTTTCGTTTATCGGTTTCTGCATCGTAGGCATCATAGGCCGCCGTGCATTAGGAAGATTAGTTGGCAACGGATTGGGAACAACGCTATGAAATAATGAGGTCAAAAAGACATTAAAAACGAAACAATTAAAACAAATAAAACAAAAAGGATTAAGAATAAAAACAAAAAAGACGAAATAAAAGAATTTTTCTTAGGTATTTACTTGGAAGGTCGAGTATATGGGGTGGTGCGATAGCGCGAAGCCGATGTAGTCTTGTATGACTTCCAAGCTCGGTTCGATGACTCCTCTGTGAATTTCATGGATTGATGCGCTTTAATTATTTTTGTTTAGCCAGCAACGTCGTGTGTAAATCGTCAATATATTCTAATATCGCTCGTCATTTCGACGATTTTTTTTTACTACAAGTGTGAACGTTTGCACACTGTGTATCATGCATTTGATTTTATACAGGGTTTAAATTTCAATTTTTATTTTATAAATGCATTTAAATTGTGTGCAGATTTGCATCGCAACTGCACATGAATTTTATATTTGGTAAAAACAAAAAATTATTTTATGTTATTTATTTTTATTGTCTACATGTAATTACGTCTACAAATCTAAAATTGATTGGTGTCAAATTTGTGACATCGAGATGTGAAACAATCTTTAAAATCAGATGACATCGATATTTCCGTGTAAATTATTATTTGCTTTTAACAAATGTTATTACAAACACTTTTATTCCGTGTATTAATAAAACTGATTTATAAAAAAATATATACATAAAAACTTGTACAAAACGTGTATACAAAAATTTCTCATTTCGTTTTAATTTTACAATTGTTAGAAAAGTTCTCCTCGTTTTTCTTAAAAGTTAATTTTACGATCTAATCTTCTTAACACCCTGTATATACGAAAATTAGTAGTTACTCATTCGCGTTCATTGTCAGAAAAAGAGACTCTTGTAAACTGTATACGCAAATAACTTAAAAAATGATTTTATAAACGAATATATAGAATTATGCAATGAAGTACCTGGATAATCTGAAGACTCGTAGTACTCGTGTCCAGAATGCGGTGCGGATTCATCTTCATACTCGTAAGTTGTATATCTTGAAAAATAGAAATTTCGATTAAATAATTATTCAATCACATAACAACCAACATACACACTACAAACATTACTGTTAAATTGAATGTTTCATCTTACGTATTTAATTGATATTAAATACTATGGTATATACCCAGAATTTGATGAATAAAGACGATCTCCGTACCGAGCATTGCTGGACGATGATCCACGATAGTCAAAATCATGTGATCCAACACGGTTTGATGCAGGAGGAGTTGGTGTCTCGTATCTAATAATAAAAGAATGAGAAGATAATTTCAACTTGTTATAGTAACTGATGCACATCAATGAAAGAATCTGCGTTGTCAAAAGTACGATGTCACGTAAAATCTTACCCATAACTTTGATCTACAGCAGCTCGCGCACGATCTAAGATCGAGAATACTTTGGATTTTGGTGGCACAGGTCTAGGTGGGCCACGATTAGCAGGTGGCGGTGGAAGAATAGCTGAGCAATAAACAATTGACAGTATTAATGTCGCAATCAATATAATTTTGACTATATATAGACAACAAACCTCTAGATGGTCTAGGGATTGCCGGCCTCGCAGCAGGTCTTAATATACCACTGCCACTAGGACCCATAGGTGCTCGCATCGGAGCTCTTCGCTCTTCCGAGGAAGGAGTGTCAGTCATGGTCATCTCCATTTCACGCATTTGTTCTTGACGAATGTTATCGTTGTTGTCGGGAATCAAATATTTCCGCACTTCGGCAAGTGCAAAAGCGATACGGGCGTAAGCTTCGGCCGGTGGCGCAAGAGCAGTGATTTCCACGTGTAAATCGTCCATAAGATGTGCGTACTTTGGATCTAAAGAATTACGGAACTCTTCCTCCTGAGACCAAAGATAAGATAAGCACAAATGTTTTCTGAAGACTCAACCATCATCAAGAAAAGTCTTGATTGTCATCTACCTTTTGTCTATCTTTCATAGACCCTCTACCTAATACTGCCATTCTGCACATTGTTTCTTCTTGTAGACGTTTGAGAGAATTACCTTTTGGACCTAGTAGTTTTCCAACAAAATTGAACTAAAGGCAGAAAATTTTATACTTTAGAGAGAGATACATCTAAAATATTTTCTCATTATTATTCAATAATATCTACATATCTACTTACCTTAGGATGTTCGCGAACTGGCACCAAAACTTTAACAGACACACGAACTGGTTTTTCACGATAGATATCCACATATTTCGAATCTTTCAATGGTTTTCCAATTGCTTGTGTTTTTTGTATTTCTATAAAATATGCAAGTTTTTGATGCAACAAAATATTTGTGTTTTATCTCTCAAAGCTTATCTCACATAGTTTCTAGACATAAAGTAGGATTGATAAAATGCACAGTTTCCTGTTTATTTTATAAATACCATTACATAATTAATTTACTTGATGATGTGTTACTTAAGATTAAGATTTTATCTTTTATATATTTGAGGTTTATGTGTTTCTATTTAATGTTATTTGAGATCACATTATATAATTTGAGAATCTTACATTACATTTCAAACAATAAGCATAAAATTCAGCTCAAGTTAATATTAATATGTTTACTTACATCTGTGTTTTATTATACATATTATAAATAAATTTGTTTTACGAGTACAAATTCTAAAAAAACTTACTTAAATACATGTAATTGAAATAAATATCAATTTAATTTCAGTAATTTTATCTTTTTTAACTCTTATAAAAACTATATATGTAAGTTTGTATGTTTTTGTGTTTGCATACAGACATATACACATACATGCTGTGTATCACTTTCTTCTTCACATACATACTATACAAGTTGTAGAAATTTAACTTTACAAATGCTTTGGTCGCAATTCGCAAGAATAAATATTTAGCACTGTTTAATCAAGTAAACTTCGTTAAGTGATGTTAATAATATTAATAGACCAACAGAGACAAAGTATACATTAAATGTTGCATGCACTCCACAAATGTAAGACCAAGTAATTAATCTTTCACCACGTACCTTGATCTAGCAATCGAATTGCGTTGGAACACTTTTGGCTATCGAGCTGAACCTTTTCCTGAAGAAGCTCACGCATATATTCACCGGCTTTGTCAACTTGATGATCCTTATCGTCGCTATCTTCCATCATTCTCGGTTTCATGTCATTGTCGCCTTCATACTTAAACTCACCATTATTCGCCCTTTCCACATCTATATTTGCCATTTTACAGATGCCCGACCTATAAGTATTATCAATATCCTGACCTTTTTTTCGTAGAACAAATTGACGCGAACTGGAGAAGAGAGCGTTTTGCAAGCTCGAGTACGTAATGGCCGACTCTTTCGCGCGCACATGTCCATTAAGGATCGTACTACATTAGTCAAATAGCAAACGCAAAAGTCCAGTCTCGTAGAATTGACTAATCGCATTGATCAAATCAAAGCCAATCGACCACTATAATTGGTCAATTCCGCAAGAACTTCTTACTTGCGTTTGCGCATTGCAACTAATGTAAAACGATCTTAAGGCCATTCTACATAAGACGCAGACGCAGGCCGCTGCTCTCGAGGAATTGACCAATCACGTAAGTCGATTAGCTGATTTGACAAACGTGAATGGTCAATTCCGCGAGATCAGCGTCCTGCGACCTGCGTCTGCGTCTTATGTAGAATGACCTTTAATGAGAAATAGAGGAACACATTGGGTGCGTTCAGACAACTCAACGGTTGAGAGATCATTACTTATGATAGGACTGTTCTTCAAAATCTGCTGCGGTTTCAAAAGTATGATCCAATCAGAAGTGATTATCTCTCAACCGTTGTGCAACTGTTGAGTTGTCTGAACGCATCCATAAACACATTGTGCATCACGCGTATCTTTCTTTATCTTTGGCTACATTTCTATGTCAATCTATTGTCTAACAAAGCTACACTTGATTCAATTAGAGAAGAGAATTTTACTGCGCATAGGAGAAGAAAAGCGGGCAGAGTAGGGATAGCGTTGCGTGCGGGATTGGCGGGACACTTGCTGACAGCCAATGGCTGTGGAGTGGGAAGACTTTTTTGTAGGAGACGTGCGCGAAACGAACGCGTTTTTGTCCGTCGAAATTCTCTTCTTTGAATCGAGTGTAGCTTTGTTAGTGTAGCCAGTTCAGGTAAAAAGAACAGACCTATTGCATAAAGCCCGTTTTACATTGATCGCAAGCGCAAACGAAAGATATAGATCTCGTAGAATTGACCAATCACGCTGGTCAATTGGCTGATTTGATCAATACGATTAGTCAATTCTACCAGACCTGTTCCTTGCGTTTGCGCTTGCTATCAATGTAGAACAGGTTTAATACACAATAGACTCCCAGGTGTCACTAGTGTATAATTTTTATACTCATCTTATAGAGTATTCTACTCTAAGGCTTTTGCTTCCTTTGCTCCTCTCGCAAAGGGGCATGCGCTATTTAGGCAAAGCTACTCTCTCTCTCTCTCTTTTGAAATATATATAAAAACGATTTATATATATGTATATATATAAGAACGAGTTTTTAAAAATTTTCTTCTTTTCACAAGTTAAGTAGCATTCAATATAAAAGTGTAACGTATAACTTGTCATAGAAAACAAATTTACAATGAGAAGAATCCATTCGTGGAGAAAATTGATTGGGTCGTACGCTCAGTTATTAAGAAATAATTTGCAACGGAACCTAACCTCGGAGCCGGTTGCAAATGTAGACAAAAATAAAGGTTTGTATTCGAAATAACAACAAATCATACGATATGTAGATTAGAAGATGTAACAGCTTGACGAAAATGTGAAAATATACGTTTTAGAAAAGACAATACTGGTGAATCAAATGGGTAAAGTGACTACAATCGGTATCAATCGTCCAGAGAAGAGAAATTGCTTAGATGCTGCAACTGCGCAATTATTGTCTGAAACATTAGATGAATTTGAAAATAATGAAGATGCAACAGTAGGAGTGTTATATGGAATAGGAGGCAATTTCTGTGCTGGTTATGATCTTAAGGAAATTGCAGATTATAATGGAGAAAGTGAAGAAGGCATACCAGTTTTTGGACCATTGGTATATTTATATTGTATTTTTAATGTTAGAAAATCAATTATTCAATAAAAATAGAGGCAACTTGATAAGTTTGTTTGTAGGCCAATAAGACTGAATTATCCAAGAAACCATTGGTAGCAGCCTTGAATGGATATGCAGTTGGTGCTGGTTTCGAGCTTGCTTTAATGTGCGACTTAAGAGTCATAGAAGAAACTGCAATGGTGGGATTTTTGAACAGACGTTTTGGTATTCCAATCTTATCTGGTGGCACTGTTCGTTTACCTGCTCTGATCGGATATTCCAGAGCTATGGATCTTATATTAACAGGAAGATTAGCTAGTGCGGAAGAAGCATTCAATTGGGGAATTGCACATAGATACACATCTTGTGGCGCAGGTATGAAAAATGAGATTTCTTATACAATTATTTCAAGAAGTGTAAAAGGAACACAATTACAATGTGCAATGAAATTGACTATAAGTACTATACTAGCACATTTATCGAACTAAAAGCAAGTGCATTAATTTGTAGAATAAAAATATAGGTTAGGTTGAAATACTATATACATATATACATATATAATGCTCATTTTTGCAGCTATAGGCACTGCAGTAAATTTGGCATCTTCTCTTGTGAAATTTCCACAAAAGTCTTTGCTGGCAGATCGTGCGTCAATGCATTACGCCACGTTCTCATCAAAACAGTTAGATGAAGCTCTACAGTTTGAGAAGGATAATTCGTCACACTTGTTATTTGAGGATGGTGTTCCAGGTGCCAAAAGATTTATTGATGAAAAAATTGGAAGACACGGGAAATTTCATAATATTACGGTTCAAGATAAAAGCATTAAAGAATTAGATAAGAATTTATTATGAAGAATCTCACACTACATGACTGTGTAATTTTATATAAATATATATATATATATATATATATTGTAATATATATATGTATATACCCTTAACTTTATATATATATACATATACATATATATATATATATAACATTAAGTTCAATAGTTTAGGCTTAATAAAATTCCCGGTTTCTATAATTTTCCAATTGCATTATTTGTACATACTATAAACACACATTACATCGAATGTACATTTTATCACGACAGTTTGTAACATGAACTAAAAGCAAGATATATATATATATTCGTCAGATTTATTTTTAACTATTATAATTTGTATTCTGAGAAATTTTTTTTAATCGATAAATTTTTTTTGCGATGATTTGCGTAGCTTCGACAGAACATCTTTTTTAACATCCTTTGCGATCAGGAGTGTCAAATTTATTATTTATTCATCTCTTGTGATGTAGTTTTGTTACGGCAATATCAAAATTATTGTAACAGATGTACAAAATTGTTTGAAAGAAAGGAAGAGAGAAATTTATTTTTTATTATTTTTTATTATTTTTTATTATTTTTAATTTACTTTTATTGTGTTTTATTTTTGTTTTATTTTATTTTATTTTTTTATAAAATACTAAACGCCTAAGAAGAGATCTTTGTTTTATTTCTATTAAGCGCTACTCACACATACATACACACATACAACTTATACAAACGAGTATCGTCTTAATCGAACAATTATATTTACTAACATCTCTTTTTCAACAGATGTTGCTTCTAACTTATCACCGCGGCTTGATAGACATTCGGTAAGTATATTAATGTTTTTTTTATAAAATCTTTTTTTTATTGTCTTTATAAATACATGCGCGCACGCTTTAAAAAAAAGATGAGTTTTCTAATGTATTTAACTCTTAATCGATCGTCATGTCGATTCGGAATATTTATGCATAATGTATTTTATTATAAAATTCGCGCGTAACGAATTTTCAAATCGAGTGAAAAACGCACAGATTCGGATCCGTGTTAAAATCGTTACGATAACAGAGAAAATCAAATTATCGCCAGAGAGCCTTTCTAGCATAGATTCGAATCAGTGATTCCGATCTTTACTGTTTACGGTTTCGAGCTACGCTGAGATCAAATAACGCGATGACGACCGTGTCGTCTTTATATTTGTTTTGAAATACGGTTTAAGTAACCGATATGACGTAACTAACGATATTATATGAAAACCAGATGTTCGTCGTATAAAATATGCGCACGGCGCGATATTCTCGATATCCGCAATATACTGCACATCTGTCTAATTAATAGGGAATGCGTTTGAGAGAGCAACCACCCTATTTTCTCCACACGACGAATGCACAAAGCACGCGCGTTATCAATCTGTCAGCGCGTCCCGAAATCCGAATAATTCTGGAATTTCATATGTACACGCAAGTTAAATTACAAAGGCCGCGCGCAAGGCTTAATTGGCGAAAGTAATACGAGCCCCCGGCCGGCCAACCACCATCAAGCCTGTTTAAAAGCCTGTGTGTGACGAAACGAGTGCAGGTAGCGGCGCATTGTTGCGCAATCGCCCGTATCCCTCCTCCTCCTCCGCCTCCACGTCCTCCTTGTAGACCAGAAGTCAGGACGCGAGGGTTCCCTCGGTGCAGAACCAGAGGTTCTCCTCCCCACCATCGGGTACGCCGCTGCTTTTTCCCCCTTTGGCGCGGATACCTCCGGTGAATGTGGTGCGCCTTGCTTTACGAGCCGCTAATGCGTGCTTCTTTCTTTCCTCTGTCTTTTCTCTCTCTCTCGCAAGAGAGAGAGAATCCTTTCCCACCATTATCTCTCTCTTCGTGTTCCATATCCTTTTGCACTTGACAGGTACTCACGGTATGATGCGTCAATCGCCTCTTTTGTCCCTGATTGTCATAACCGCTTGAAAAGCGTCGTAAGAGATGATTTACATCCACACAAACAACGAATTTATAAGAAGAAAAAGAAACAACTTCTCGTCTCGCTTTTTAAAACCACAAGAAAGAAAACAAATAATTAAACACAAACAAGCCAATATTTAAGTCTCACGTCGCTTTCAAGAAAAAACAAAAAAAATTGCATAGGTTAGAGATTGTAAAATAGTAGCGCAAATGTGTTTCTCCTCAACTTCGTGTTGCTCTTCTCGTGGAGCTCGCCGCGGTTGCGTAAACTGTTATTGTTTACGCGCTCAAACACTCAATTTTCTGGCTCCACGTTCTTGGCTCCGCGTCGCTCTCTCAGACGATCTCGCGCGCGCATCTACTGAAAAAGAAAAAGATTAAGACGAGAACGATGAAGAAAAAGAAGAACAGTCATGCGAGAAATCGTTAACACGAGGCTATTCCCGCGGAACGTCGTCGTCATCATCTTCCCGTCAGCTGTCGAGACGTTCCTCGCGTTTCTTTTGTGATCGGCTTGCGCCTTAATACATGGCATTTAAGGCAAACGCAAACGTCAGGCCTTTCACGAATCTTCCCCATTGTGTGCTCGACGATCTATTATTATCCACGTGGCTCGCTCGTGCTCTCCCGACGAGCCCAAAAAAAAAAAAAAAAATATCGAAAGTACAATGCTCGAACAAGCGCGACACCAAGTACGTTTCTTCTTTTTTTTTTCCCCTCGACTCCCCGAGTCGTTTAAAAAGAGAGAGACACTCGTTTGACGACACACCCGCGTTTGTCGAAGGATGAAAGCGAAATCCCGCGGAATGTCGAGTGTCTAGCGAATCCGCGGATAATGTTAACAACCCTAGAGACACGGGAAAAAAAAAATAAAAAAACTAACGGATAACGCGCGGTCGTCCTTTATATGGACGCGACGTTCGTATCCACTCCGTGCCGATCGTATCTGCATCGCGTTTTAACCATCCACGTTTTACGAGGTGGATGGATATAAAGTACTCGTCTTCTTTTTCCTTTCCCTGCGCCTCGTAATCCCTGCCCCTCGACAACAGCAACAGGTTATATCGTGTCTCGCCGAGAGACACGACCGACGACGACGAGAGGAAGGAATATATATTTTTCTCTCTTTCTGTCTCTCTCTCTCTCTCTCTTCTCGCACAGGACTCGCGGCGCGTCCCGATATGGGTGTCCTGCGAATTTACAACGACGCGACGAATTTACAACGTTCCGCCGTGCGAATTGTCACGACGACGCCAAACAAAAGCGCGAGCCCGAGCTAGTGGAAATTCGGCGATCAAACGCGAACAAAGGAAGAGCTTCGCTCTCTCTCTCTCTCTTTCTATTTCGGGTTTGAATGAAGAAATTAATTTGCGATGCGCGATGACAGACAGCTGTCGCGCGCGCGCGCGCGCACACACTTTTGCTTTCGCAGACGCTTCGCTTTTCGCGCTTCGAGGAAGTCGATGTGTGCTGATGTTGTGGCATACGCGCCAGCAAACAAAGACTCTCCCAACGTCGTTTTCACCGACCGCTTTTCAGATCGGCAGCCGGATAATCGATGCGCGATATAATACGACGAAACGGCACTCTATAGAACAGGTCATTAAAACCCGCTCGATCTTCTTTATAACCGCGCGCTTGTGTGTATATACACGCTGGAATTTATGACGCTGTAAATAGTCTCTCTCGACAAAAACCGTCGCATACCGCAGATCATCCGCGCGTCACACACATGTGCGCGCGTACATATGTTTCTTCGGAAACTGTCGTTGCCGCAAAAAATTGTCGCACAATCAAACACCGCGCGAAAATAGAAACAAAAAGTATAGCTCGTTAAAAAAAAAAAAAAAACAGAAGGATAATTACCGAGTTATAAACGAGCGCGTATTACAAATCTGTAAAGGTTTTTTCAACATCCAGTTGTCGCTCACTTTTCATCATTAAATATCTGATTGTAAAATTATCTTTCAACTATATCTGCCTTCTTGGCACGTAATCGAAGCTTATCTCAGAGATAGAATACAAGATATACATATATATATATATATTGCGATATGTACGCGGAAGAGATCGAAAGAAGCACACGACCTGTTCGCGTGACGGGTGTGTGGAATTCGCGAGGATCGGCGAATTTTTTCGTTCCCCGTGCGCTGCTCTTCTATACCCTATACGGTTTTTTGTCTCTGTGAAATTTCTATCGCGCGCGCACAAGTGTAGGTTTTAATTTCCCTCGAGTTCGAAAGCGCGCGCAAATATTTGCATCGAAATATCACGAAACACAATAATAGCAATCGGAGAACACAGGACGACGACGACTACTACACCACTCCGTAGCATCTACGTACACGCGTCTCGCGCTTACCGCGAGAGAGAGATCCTGCTCCTTTCCCCGCGCGCGCGTGTAGGTGTAGACGCCTCGAGCCACGTAACAGCCCACATTTTATTTCGCTGCACTTTTACTCTACAACTCTGTGCACCGGCCTTGTTGCGGTCTGAATACCTCGCCGGGATCCGTCATCGTCTCGCCGGGACCCTTTCTATCGCCGCGCCACTGCATCTCTCACACGCGCGTTGCGTGCGCGCGGCTGCGATATATTCAGCATTTTACTGCCTCGACAAATGTAATAATGTAATATAACTGATAATGCGAGCGGGCGCGCGCGTGCGATTATGACACCGCTCGATAACCCGGTGCACACCCCGATCACCTGATCTCTCACGGTAACGTGAACGAAGGTCGGACACCTGCGACGTAGCTGCATTGCAATTTTCACGGCAGCGGCGGCGTGCAGCGAGTTCTCTTCTTCTGCCGAGAAGAGAAAAAGTTATTTTTAAAATTTGTTTTTTTTTTGTTTTCTTCTTCAACAAAGTGTTGGGAAGACATGTGAAAAATATTTCTTCTGGCTGACACATTGTGCGTGTAATGATAATTAAATAAAATAAACGCGCGAGCAAAATAAAGTGTTTACTTTATTTGCAATTAATACGCGTCTTGTATTGATGTCAACTCGTGGAGAGGACTCACGGAAAGGAGTAATAAATTGCGAACTCGTATTTCTTTTTATCGCCCATTAATTTCGTCACACGAGCGAATTTCTCGTGAATCCGAACGAAAGCGAAAATCCAATTAAAGATCTCGTCTTCTTTTTGTCCGTTAA